ATTAGATACAAAATAGTATATTTTTTGTTTCCTAATACTATTCTGATATTTATCTTACATGTTAATAGTATAATAGAAAGATGCAAGTATACAAAAAGTATAAAAAAATATACGTTTTTTCTTCTTTTATTATCTCAACATTCAACATATGTATAAATGGCATCCTAGAAGAATAAAGGTATACAAAATGTAAAAGAAATATATTCGTTTTTTTTCTTTTTTTATTATCCCGATATTCAACATATATGTAAATAGCATCCTAGAAGAATAAAGGTATACAAAATGTAAAAGAAATATATTTGTTTTTTTCTTCTTTTATTCTCTTGATATTTAATATATGTGTAAATAGCATCCTAGAAGAATAAAGGTATACAAAATATAAAAGAAATATATTCATTTTTTTTCTTCTTTTATTATCCTGATATTTAACATATGTGTAAATAGCATTCTAGAAGGATAAAGGTATACAAAATGTAAAAGAAATATATTTGTTTTTTCTTCTTTTATTTTTCTAATATTTAATATATGTGTAAATAGCATTCTAGAAGAATAAAGATATACAAAATATAAAAGAAATATATTTATTTTTTTTCTTCTTTTATTCTCCCGATATTTAATATATGTATAAATAGCATTCTAGAAGGATAAAAGTATACAAAATGTAAAAGAAAAATATACATTTTTTTTTCTTCTTTTATTTTCCTGATATTTAAGTTAGTTCATGAAGAAATATAGGTATACAAAAGTATAAGGATCATATTCACTTTTTTCACCTGATATTCAACTTACAATACATGCAATGTACAGTATATAGCTTTTATTAAACCAATTTTTTGTATTATATTTTATATATATGTGTATATCGTTTATACTTTATTTTTTAATAATACAAATATATATGGCTATATGAATTTAATTAATTGCTTCTCATAACCCAGCCGAGTCAAATTTTGAAAACTTTTGAAAAAAAAATTTTATATGTTTTAATAGCCGAGTAAGGTTTCAAAAAAAAGGTTAGCTGGTTTATGAGAAACAAATTTGAATAGCCTAATAAAAATATATATAAAAAATATATATATATTTTTGCTAATTTTTTTTTACTTTTCCTCTTCTACTTCTTTCTCTTTTACTTTTTTTTCTTCTATTTCTTCTTCTTCTATTTCTTTCTTTTCTACTTCACTCTCTTCTACTTGTTCTGGCTCAAACAGGCTTTTTAAAAAGTCTGTAAAGCTTACAAGTAATACCTCAACCTCATCATCAGGATCCTAATAGTTAATACTATCAGATTCACCTTTATGAAAAACAAATTAATAATTCAAATTATGAATTAAATTAATGTATTTTATCTAATTACCTAATGATAAGTTAGATTTTTTGCAACTCATTATAGTTTCACATTCTGATATTAGAGAAGGATTTCGATAGAGCATTGAAGGTTCTAATACCAGAAAAATATATATAATAAATAATAATTCATAAAAGTTAACTGATATTTAACTGCAATATAATATATTATTAGTATAAAAATTAGCTAACACATACCAACTTCCTTTGATTTACCTTTTTTATTAACCTTTGTTGACTTATCTTTAATAATACTAAATTTATTAAAAGCAGCTAGCTGACTAAAGGCAGCTAATTGACTAAAAGCAGCCGGTTAACTAAATTCTTTTTGTTAATTCAAAACTAGAATTAGTTTTACTTAGTTATAATTAAACTAACAGTATTACTATCTTATCTGTAGTGACCGGTGATTTTGATTTTGAATATGTACAATATACACTATGCTGGGGATCACTAGGTCTAGCGATAGCTTCATAGTTGTCATCAGAGGTATCTTCTAGATTATCACTATCATCCGAATTATTACTATCAGAGTCATCTGGGTTAGCTAGTTTATCTGGATTAACAGAATTATTCAAGTTTGCAGGGTCATCCAAGTTAGCTGGTTTATCTGAGTTAGCAGAATCATCCGAGTTTGTAAGATCATTTGGGTTAGCTAGTTCATCTAGGTCAGCAGGGTTATCTGGGTTTGCGGGGTCATTTAGGTTAACATGATTATTATTTGTTGAGGTATTGCTATTGGTTGTAAGGGTATTATAGTCAACATGTGATCTGGATATTATCCAATCTGGAGTATTAGAGGGTGAAGAGATGTTATAATCGATAAGCCCTGATATATTTTGCTAGCAATATCTGGTGCGTTTTTTTTTTATGGAAGATACTTTTTCAGCTGTCCATAAAATATTTTTTAACTATAGGTAAAGTAAAAAAAAAAAAGTTATTTTAAAAAAAATTATATGTATATATACAAATATTGCTAAAGAAAAAATATATATATATGGGGTTACCAAAAAAAATGATTTTATCATTTATTAGATTTAGCTATTGGCAATATATAGAGTTGGTAAATAGACCAATTTGACTAATTTTTTTAACTATTATTACAATTTTTTAATTATTATTAAATTTTAATAATAGCTAAAAAATTGGTTAAATTGGTCTATTTGTCAACTAATATAATATATATAGTAATATCAGATTTTTTAAAAACTGAATCTAACAATAATAAAATTAAAAGCCTGAAAGTCTTCTTTTTCTTAAAACACTTATGTTATTACTAAATATATAAAATTGATCTAGGTCAAAAAAAATTACTCAGAGATAAGCATAATACTGATATTTATATTAGCTTAGTTTTACTTTTCAGAATCACTAGCATTTATCTAACACTTTGACCACTTGGTTATTGTGATCATTTTTACTATCACAATCTTCATCTCTCTGCTCTCTATTGGCCTTCTCAATATCTGTTTTAGAAATTTTATCACTATAATAATCTCGAACTTTTAATGCTTAGCTGATATTAGCAATTGTTTGTTTTCGAAATATTATTTTGGATAAAAATCGTATAAGAAGTGGCTTTAGTTTTTACTAAATAGTTAAAGCTACTTCTTTATCTTCGCATTTTTTTATAAAATAAATTAAAATAAATCAAGTAAAAATAAAATAAAAGTAATAAAAATAATAGTAATAATAATATAAAAAATAAATGATATTAATATTAAAATATATTATTAATATTAAAAAATAATAAGTGAGATATATAGTGCTATATTTATATTGATAATAATATATCTGTGATGTCCGGGTATTTATTCTTCTTCTTTTTTTGTGATGTGTCTACCTCTCTGAATTTAATTTTTCCAAGTATATCTTATATTGATATCGATACAGTTGTTGGATTATTTGAAGCACTTGGTTGCTACTAACATTATATTCAATACTACGCATAATTACAGGAAGAGAATTTATAATAAACCAATTTTTGAATTTATATTACTACCTAGTGGGTCTGGTCTAACCCATTTGTTTAGACTATCAATAGCTAAAATAATATCAGTCTATATAATAAAAAAAATTATTAGAAATTTTATGCATAAAAAAAAGTTTATCAAAAATATAAATAAACTAGCTATTATTAATATAAAGATATATTAGTAATAGCTAGTTTATTTATGTTTTTGATAAGTTTCTATCAAACCCAATACTTATATCCAAATGTTAAAACATACTCAGAATGCTTCTCTGATATTATTTTTACTACCAATATTAATATTCATGCTAGCATCACTTTCACTACTGCTATCGCTGCTGCTGCTGCTCATAATAATTGGAGAAACTAAAAATCTTCATTTTTTTTCTATATATATATATGTAAATAGCTTGCTTTACAATATACAAAATTACAATACATAAATTTCTAATAGATATGTTACCATTGGAAGATGAGGATGAAAATGAAGAATGTCTTCTTTTGCTTCTGCTTCTTTGGGCTATAACAGGCCCTCTTTTTCCTTGTATTGCTCTCTTCTATACAACTCTTTTATTTGCTATGTTTTTTTAATATGAAAAAATATACCAGTGAAAAAAATAAGTGAGAAAGTAAAAATTACAGATAAAAAAAAACTAAAAAGAAAGAAAAAACTTATCTTATTTATATTTTAATACTTTGAAAATTACGCATTGTTAATTTCCAAGTGTTTTATAAAGAATACATTAATCTATTTTACCAATATATTCTTCACAAAATATATCGATGAAATAAGAATTGACAAAATAAATAATCTTTTAATTATATCAATATCAATTAAGAAATTACAATATTTTTTACATATCATATTATATTTTATGCAAGTAATATCGAGAATTTTTATTAATAAAAAAATTCTGATATTAATATATAATATCAGTATATTGGAAATTTTTGATTAAAAAATTTCTATTATTATAACAAATTTAGTTACATATCTGTAATATAATATAATTATAGATATATTAATATTAGGAATATTTAGATAAAATTCTGATATAAATAGGGACTGACACTTATTACGAAAATATAACCATCTCCAGAGTTAGCCATTTGATAATTACAAGTTCTAAAGTAATCATAGTGTAATCTTTATATGATTAATTATTTTAGAGCTTGCTATTGTCAAACAATTAATTATTTTAGAACTTGTAATTGTGCTAAATGACTGAAACAATTACAAGTTCTAAAGTAATCATAATGTAATTTCTATATGATTGATTATTTTAGAGCTTGCAATTGTCAAATGATTATTTATTTTAGAATTTGTAATTGTGCTAAATGACTGAGACAATTACAAGTTCTAAAGTAATCATAGTGTAATCTTTATATGATTGATTATTTTAGAGTTTGCAATTAATAATTAATTATTTTAGAACTTGTAATTGTACCAAATAACTGACTCTGAGGAGGTTATATTTACGTAATAAGTATTAGCTCCTATATTAGAAATTTTATTTAAAAAATTCCCAATATTAATATATGAATTTTAGTAATATCAATATCTGTAATATAAGTTTGTTGTGATATATTAAGAAATTACATATTTTACTTGTTATTATTTTTATATATTAATATCAGGAGCTTTTATTAAAATTTTTCAGTATCTGAATTGCTTCTAACAATAATGCCTAAATTTATGGATTTGCTCTACTTACTGAGTAATTTACAAACAGCTTATTTACTCAACTAATTAATTGCTAACTAACCCTATAAGATAAAATGATTATCGATAAAGTAAGCTTTATTATTTTACAATAAGGTTAGCAAGCAACAGATTATAGTTTATAAAATAATTTTATTAAAATATAAATAAAATACTGAAAATTATAATATTAATACCAAATTAAATAAATATATTTAGCATTTATATAAATAAAAAACTATAAAACTAATATAAAACTGATATAAATATAATAATATATCCTGCTATATAAATAAAAATACTATTTTAAATATCAGTATTTATAAATTATACTTTCTATATAAAAAATTATAGTTATATAGATTTTTGGATTCTTTTTAATACAGTCTGGTGTTTTTCCAAATATGGTATTTCTAAATTTAGCAATGATCTACAATATTCAATTATCTATCGAAATTCTAGAATTTTGCTTATTGTTATATAATACAGTACTGCAGTAATATTGATATAGATTTCTCTAATATAATGAGTGATACACAGAGAAAACCTGTAAGTAGATATTTACGTTAACTCAGAGAGAATTGTAATATTACGTATTAAATCACATATACAATCAATTTTGTTATTTAAATAAATGATGAATATATTATGATATATAAATAGCCAAACACTGATTGTATGTGTGATTTAACACAATTCTTCTTGTGCATCAGTGTAAAATTTGTATGTATGCGTATTTTATCCAAAAATTTAAATACTAAAAATGCGATTGCTAATCTTTAAGATATAGAAATTTTAATACACACATCACATCTTTATTAATTTAAATTAAAATTGCTGAAGCTACATCGTCAATTTATAGTTAGGTCAAAAATAACATTACTGACAATAATAAAATTTATACATACCTACGCAGATAATTATTCTTTCAAATTACTGAATTAGCAAAACAATCAAATTTTATGAATTCTATCCTGCATATTACTATTGTTTTTACAATAGTATTATGCAGATTCATAAAATTTATAAAAAAGCGTAAAACAGACTAAATAATATATAGTAACTTATTGTGTCATTGCCTATTGTTTAAAATAACTTTCTCGATACAAAGACTACACAAATTTAATATGAACTAGGAATGATACATATCAAATAGCCAGCATTTATTAAAAGCAATGCCAAAGAAAATGGAACCTCAATCATATATAATCGAGATCTCATTTTCTCTTGGCATTATTCATATATTACAGTATTATTTTAGTTCTGGTGTAAAAATATAAGCGTTAAATTATTTCTTACGTTAATATCATATTTAATAAAAATGAATGGTTAGTAAACTGTAAATTATATTTTTTTTACAAGAGTTAATTATTTACATTTATATTTTAAAAATAAACTAAAGATCCACAAGAATTACAAAACTTATCTTGTTTATTTAGTCAACTTGTTGAATCTTATCATCACACGAAGCAATTAGCTGAATGTGAAACTAAAGAAGATCAAAGAATGTGCAATGTATTTACTAATTTTATTAAAATCTGAATTCAATTATTTGAACCTTATTTTCCTGAATTAAATAGTCTAAAAAAAGAATTACAAAAGTACAAGATTTGTGAAAAATATTATAATCAGATCTTTGCAAAAGATATCTATTTAGACTATTTAAGAGATAAAACATCTGATTATCCTCAAAAAAGAAGTCGCAATTTATTAACATTAAATAATAGCTCGATTTTAAGTGATACTCTAAAAGAATCTTCAACCGTTGATAACAGAATTCAAGTAATAATAAATAATGATCTTTTAACACAAATAGATACTTTGAAAACTTCTTTAGCTAATCTTGTAACTGATCATTCTAATCAATTACAAATTATTCAAGCTAAAAATAATAGAATTTCTAAATTAGAAAATGAATGTGAATTTCTTAAAAAACAAATTACTGAACTTAATACTAAATTAAAGCTTTTAAGCTTATATCAAAATCAAGTTAAAATACTAACAAATGAAAAAAATAAATTAGAAAATGAAAATATATACTTAAAAGAACAATGGAATGAACGATATAGTACTCAACAAAAACATGTAATAGAAATTGTTAAAATTGCTTTATTAGACCGAAAATTTTTATATGATGATATTATTTATTTAATTAATGATCGAACCGGTTTTTGTTAGAGAACTTATTAGCCTTTGACCCTTCTAATTGGCTTTAATATCGTAATCCTGTAATAGTAAAGTTTATCGAGACACTTACAGACAATGATGATGAATAGCTATGTCAAAATAAAAATTTCAAGCATGTAACTGCTATAGATGCAATTTACAAATCACAACATAGCAAATATGTTTCTGAAATAAATCTTGCCGCATCTGCAATTAAGTATTCTATTGCTCGATCAAAACTTATAGTAGATATTGATAATCATATTACTGGTGGAGGAGGCTATACAAAATTTATAAATTGGATTGAAAGTTTAGCGATTAAACCTAAACCTTTACCTGATAGATTTTTAATTTTAGCTTTTGATAATAAACAAAAAAGCCAAAAAAATTATTTAGATCAGGGTCACAATACGGTTATATATTATACTGTAACTAGTTTTGTAGCTTTTAATTTTGATACAAATAATAACAGCCAATTAGAAATTGATCCATAGAAATGCACTTTGCTTAGTGAAAATGATATTGAGCAATTATTTTATTTAAATAATGATATGAAAAACAAGCTTGAAGAAGAACTTAAATATTTTATTAACGAAATAATAAATAATTTACTTGTGGAAAAATCTCAAGAAATAAATGAAATTGATCAGCTTATCAACAAACAAAATAATTTAACTAATAAAATGAAAAAATGTTCGCAATGTTTAACACTAAATATTGATAATAAAAAGCGAAATTGTCCTAATTGCAATGCTAAATTACCAATGCTCACTTCTATAAATCAAATATCATCTTTTTAACAACTATTAGTATCAGAAAATATAAATAAGGCAATAACATTTAAGCTATACAAACCTAAAGAACTAAATAAATCTAGTATTAAATTGCAAAAACTCAAAATTAGCATAATACAAAAAACTATAGCAGATCAAAAAATAAAAATTTCAGAATTATACGTTCCTGATCTAATTCCTGTTAATCCTAATTCTCTAGTAAATGTTCAAAAAGTTTTAGAACATATTGAAATAATTGCTGGAATTAAATCTGGAAAGCGCAAATAGATACCTGTTGTATGTGATGGTGTACTATATAACCAAGCATTAAAATTAAGAAAAAACTTTCCATGGCTAATTTTACTCCCGGTGCTCTACATGAAGAAATGAATATACTTAAATCATTTGTCGAATTAAACTGGTATAAATCAATTATTAATTAAAGTAGATAAAAGTAATTTGACAAATTTGCGTATCTTACCATCACGTGATCACAATAGTTAGAAATAGATCACAGAGTTACAGGATAGTGTGATTTCTATAAAAATAAAATTTTTAAAAAATTTAATATTAAGAGACATATTTCTGATAAATCAAAAATATCTTGTGATTTCATGATTCAATTCTAACGATTTTTATACCATTCAATTCCTCTTAGTGAGAAAAATCGAATGGTATAAAAATTATTTGATTCAGATTGCGGTATCATGAGTTACTTCATTTTTTATTATATAATTATAGAATTATATAGTAAAAATATATTTAAATATCTTATGACTGTGATTCAAATTAAACGATTTTTATACTATCTAATTTCTCTCACTGAGAGGAATTGAATAGTATAAAAATTGTTTAATTTGAATCACGGGATCACAAGATATTTCCAATTCATCAAATTACCTCTATGATCTAATTTTTTTTAAAAAATATATTTTATATGAATCAAGATATCTTGAGACCCGTAATCCAAATCATATAATTTTTATACTATTCAATTCTACTCATCGAATAATATAAAAATCATATAATTTCTATCATGTAATGACAAGTTATGTGCTGATAAAAATAAATTTATTAAATTACTTCTATCTACCTTATATTATTTTTACTTATATTTACTTTCTAATTATTAAGAGAAATAGATATAAAAGTATTTGCCCGATGTCAAGGATATCGAACAAATAATCAACTAGGATTCTTTCACAAATGTATTGATCACTATAAATCATAGGACTCAATATGTAATATATATCGTTATTCTATAGCATCAGAGTTAATTTGGCCATATGTCTTGAGTCATAATGATCCAACTCCTAATGGTTATTTAATATGGGCAAAAGATCAAACTGATGATATATATAAATTAAAATTTGAACAGGTTAGATGTTGTTTTAATTTCAATTTACAATAAGAAAATAAGAATACTAAAATATAACAAAAAAAATCTGTGATAATAGATTTTTACTTATCTTCAGGCCATTATTGATTTTCATACTGGAGTTAGAACTAATCAACCTTTATTGCGTAATACAGCTAGATATCAATTTGTACCAATATGGTCATCTAGACGTCATCCAATTTATAGAATGCTAGAAATATCACACGAAGAAAATTTATTATATTTGAAGCCTCATATTCGTGAAGCTATTGAAAATTTTTCAGTTGTATCTCGTTCTGGGCTTCAAAATCAATACCAGGGGCTTGATGCTATTGTAGAAGAAATTAATAAAGCATTAAAGTCTTTAATTCCTCCAGTACCATCACAACGTTATTGGAAGATTGCTACAAGAAACTATATGAATTTTTTAAAAGTAATTTAATATATGAATGCTGCTAACAAAAAAAAAAAAAAAAAAAAAAAAAGACTTCGGGCTTTCAAGTTTAACATTTATTATTTATCAGATTCAGCTTATAAAAGATCTGATTATATGTTACTATCAGGGCTAAATCTAATAAAAAATAGATGATAAAATTAAAAACTCAAAGTCTTTTTTTTTTTTTTTTGGCCACACTCGTATTATACCTTAATTAAAATCTGCTTAATCTAAAATTTAGATATTCTAATTAGAATTAGACTATTCTACTTAAGTTAACAACTTAAAAATAAGCATATAGCATTATAATATATATTAATTATATATTTTTAAATATCAATCGGTTAAGATCTTAAGCCAGATAGTCTAATCCAAAGTTAGAACTGTAAGATTCTGAATAAGCAGATTCTAATTTGGATATAATATTTGAATTAAATTAAGTTTAATATAGTGCTTAATAACAATTTAGTTACACACCAACCTGTTTAATGTTATTGGATATGAGGATAATGAAAATCTGGAACAACGAACTCGACCTGATTCTCATGTAGAACAACAATGCTTTCGTACATATTTGAGGAAAAAAGAATTTTTCACTCTTAAAAAAATTAATAACACATTAGCTAATTTAGATAGAGATGTTAAATTAAGTAAGGAAATGAAATCATTCAGTATACTTGCAAAAGAAAAACGACAAAAATTTATTCAAAATACTTTATTACAGCAAAGTAGTACTAACATTTGGAAACCAATTCCAGTAACAGAACAAGAGGCTGATGCACTAAAAAATAAAAGTGCAATGAGAAAAGAAGAACTCATTGCAATCATTAATTTAGTGCTTATTTCACTTCCTGAGTCACAATACGCAAAGTATACTAACCTAAAAAATAAAACAAAGGATATGCTTTTAACGATATTGCAAGAAATATATGATTTAAATAGTGCTGAAAAAATTATAGACGAAGAAACTACCATTAATAAGCTTACTAATGAAAGCTTAACAAAGAACAATTAATAAAATCATAACTATTATAAATTTTTAAGAATAAATTCTTATTATTATATTGTTACTGCTATACCAATTTTGATCTGCTATTGATGATAGTTAGAAGCAATGTGAATTAAAACTAAAGTAAAACCTTAAAACTTGAATCCTATATATTGAGTAATAATAATAATGGCTAAGATATTCCTTACATATCTATTATTAAAAATAAAACAATAAGTTAAATACATCGTGTAATAAATAACCGTAATAATAATTACTTATCTAGCTCATTAATATTTTCGGCTATAATTTTTGTTAATCTCTGACTAGAAGATGAGACAAGAGCTTCACTAATATTTTTATTAATAATTCATTCATTACTTCTTTAGATTCTTATCTGAGATTCAGATTTAAAGGCTAAACCGATTAGTAAGTTTTTTTGACTATAACAAACTACCTTCAATGTCTAGTTTAATTATCTTTCTCACCTTTTTTTTGAGAGGTTTGCTTTTTGAACCTTATTGGTGGCTTTGCTTGTGAATAATATCTGTTACTAAAGTACTATACTATTAGTATAATTCGTATTACGTTTTTTTCCTTCTAACTCAATTCTAGATACGCTCTAATAATTAATATTTATGCTCAACAACTACATTAAAGCAGATAAAATATATTAGAAAAATAAGATTTAAGACTCAACTAAGTACTATTAAACTACATATTCTTTGGGTGTACATAACTTAGATGCGTGAGTGGATTCAACTATATCTTTTGTAGATTCTAAATCTTAAGAACTTCAAATACCAACTTCGATAATTCAGAAATTTAAAGATTAAAGAAAAAATCATATGGCTTTGACCTAAAACTTTGCAAAAAACAGCTAATCAAATTTTATTTTATAGATCATCAACGATTTTCAAAATTCTAGAATAATTCGATTACACTAATCAAATTTGGAAAAATCCCAGACTGTAATATCAATAGTATATGTATCTACTATGAACCGAGAATATATCTGATATATAAGAATTATACAGTCCCTGCTTAACTATAAAATTCTTGATCCCACAACTCTATATTACAACTAAGATCATTATCTTTAATTTTCATATAGAATTTTGTCTCATAATTTTCAGCAGGTTTATACTATCTTACAAATGCAAGATGATATGTTTGTTTACTAGAAGAAAAATAGATAGTGTGATCAAAATAGAATTGAACCTGACCGAGATATAAATCTGCGGATTCATCTTCTGAAGCAACAATCTTGCTAGAATTCTTGAAAATTTAATATAACGAGTTGAAAATATAAATCTAAAAATTTCTGAATCTAACTTTAACTGTCTATATTGAATAATAGTAGAAAATACAGGTATCTGATCAATTCCCGATATATTTCCAGGTTTGGTAAATTGATAGTCTATATCTGTCACATTATAGAATTCAACTAAAAGAGTTTGAATATCAGATTGTAATATGATATTTTCTAATTTTGGATCAAGAAATATACCAGAAAATGATTCATAATCAAAGACTTCTACCTGGTTAATAATATTTTTTAAATTATAAAATTAAAGAAGATCTTGTAATTCAAATTCATCCAGAATAGCTATGCTATAACCTGATATTCAACCCTTTAGTATTATAAAAGAATTGGATAGTCTGTCATCATTTTCAGTATGTGATACAATTTTATCCAAACATTTATTTATGAGAATAATTCTCAAAAGTTCTGGTTCTATATTTCTATAGCTGCTTTTATATGAACCTATCTCTTAGATTGTAGACTAACACAGGCAAATTTGTCTGTATTAATACTATAAATATATTATTAATCTATTTTTTTAACAATTTAGAATATTCAAATAAAATTTGGTATAATAATATTTGAAAATATAGATTATTTTTTTATAGTAT